CTGCATCCAAATTCCAGTTGTTTCGGTTCAAAGAGCTTCAGTTCAGAAAAAGCGCAAAAAAAACCCCTAGCATCACGTTCGAAAAGGACCAAAATATTGTAAGCGCCAATTTATCACGCGCTCCGCTTCTAAAAGCTGCTACAGCTATAGACATTGGTTCATCTTTCACGACTGGAGCATAGACTTGCATCAATTACTTTATGTTACTGAACACGTGTGCTAAACCCTTTACTTTATTAGTTCCTTATTTTTATCATGGTTCCAGGAAATTGTCATCTCTCCTTGGTGAAATGACCAATGTTCAGGACTTGCCTATTGATATTCATAGTGGCAAGCTTTTGGGTTAGTCCCTTTGACATTTGCGTAGCTCAAAGCGTTTATTTTCAAAGAAAGGTTGCAGTTTTAAACTATTTCCAGACTGGCTGATTAGTCGACGACATTGTCAGAAGGATTGGCAGAAAAATGTGCTTGTTATTCGCGAGAAAATCAAACATGCCATTTTGGATATGCCGGAGTCAGATGAAGTAGTGAAATTGCTTCAGGGAAGCTGTGAGTATTTGCTATATTGCGATCTCATCCCTGTTTTCATAATCATTGCCTAATTTGTTTTTTCAAGCTTGCCTTTTGCAGATATAAACTATTTCCACTGCCAACGAATAATTGAGATCTTGCGTGAAACTGAGAAGGATACAAAGAATTTTTTGGGCTTCTATTCATCACAGCGAATGAAGGATTGGCAGGTGAGTATCCTTTTCATTTTTGTATTTCATTTTCGAAGCCTTATCTCATTTTGTTCCAAAGCATGCCCATGTTCGAACCATGAAATGTAGGGTGTAAAGTAAACTCATGTTACGGAATAGGGTAAATTTAGCATTTTAACTAGTTCAGCAACATAATTACCTAACATATCGGATGCAACTTGAATTTCACTCCATGTTTTTACAAGTCTCAGTACACTGCAAAAAGAGGTCTTGTAGCGAATATGCTATTCTAATGTTATACTCCCTATCTAGGCTAAATACTCACCTCGCGCTTTTCCTGTGGAACCCTAGCGATTCTGTCTTTCTGGGACAATTATTATTGTTTCTGCGATAGTATGTCAGTTTGAACGCTATTATGACTTTGTGATTATGCTTGGTAGAAGGGAGGACAGAGGGAAATTATCTGCGGCGTGGGAGCCAAAATTTCCCAGTGAAACACAAGGAGCGTGAGCAGCAAACTTTCTGCGGCCGTCGGGAGAGGGGACGAGCGCCTTGCAGCCATACTCTCTATTTTACTACTGTTTTTCATAGTAATACATAATCTCATTGTTCAAGCTTAATAAAGATAACATTAGTTGTTGAAGGGCGCTAGTTATTTAACGTCTATAAAAATTCGATTTAAACCAAAATTACATAGCCTTTCCTGTTGAAAAGGATTACCTTGACCGTCAAGCTGGCTGTCAAGAAACTCGTGGTTATATATTGCTGTGCAAGCCGAGTCAGGCGGTGATAGCA